TCGCCTATCTCATCCTCCCAAATAGCTAGGATTACAAGTCTGCACCACCCCAAGCCTAGCAAGTTGAAATTTTAAAATTGCTTTCTTAAAAATAAGCTTGCATTGAATCACCACATTAAAAAATAAACTGAGCATGTATTTACACAGCAGCTTAAAATCCTGGACTTAGTGTCCCTATGAAACAAGACATAAGCAGGTAAGAATGAACCAGCGTCATTGGTAGATCTGGGTGGTGTCCATGTTGGCAAAATCAGAATTGACTCTAATAAGTGGAAAATTTCAATAGGTGTTCATAGGAAAAGCCTGAAGGCCAACTGGAGGAAACAAGTAGACTCAGGAGGGTTGTGCTGATGCTGATGTGAGGTGTGAAAGGCCCATCACAAGGTGTGAAGGGCCAAGGCAGTCTACTCCCTGTGAATTGTAAAGACTGGTTCCCAAAGTTCCCATCTACAGCAACACACACACACACACACACACACACACACACACACACACACACCCTCAGGACAGCATCCAAACAGATCAGGATGGGAATGATAGAGGAAAAGAAAAGATCCAGACATAAATGAAAAAGAGCAGAAAGCCAGGTAGGTCAAGAAGAGGCTGTCATAAGTGCTACGGTCTTAAATTGCCTTCATAAACCCTAAAAGTCCAAGGGGGTGTGTGTATAGAGATGGCTCTCAGCAGCCACAAGTGTAGACTGCTCTTGCAAAAGAGCCCAGTTTGGTCCCCAGCACCTACATCAGGAAGTTTGTCACTGTCTGTAACTCCACCTCCAGGGGATCTGACATCCTTTGCTGGTCTGTGTGTGTGCACACATCACACACACACACACACACAATCACACACAGACACACTTTAAAAAATAAACCTTTAAAAGTAAACAAATAAAACTTCAAGGGGATTATGCTTTCACATCACATCAAAGCAAAACCTAGAAAAATATTGAGGTTAACTCCTGTACAAGAAAAAAAAAGACAGCTCAATATTCTTCCCATTAACTACAGAAATACTGCACACAATGAATTAATGTACCCCTCACACACAGAGAAAAACCAAACAGTCTGTTCTAAAATCAATGCAAGATCTAAGAAACAGGTATGAGGCAGAAATGAGCACAATTCACAATCAGAAAATGTCAGAGATGAGGTGACAGAGCTCAGCACAGAATTAGAAATATATATTGTTTTTGGAATGGATATTAAGCCCAAAAGCATAGAAGAGGAATAGAAAACAGAGACAAAATACATGGAAAGAGACAACCAAAGGGCTTGAGGCAATGGAATAACTAAAGATGGGCAATGAAACAACATATAAACGATGGAGAAATCTAAGCCAGGAAATAAAACTAATAGTCACATAATTTATTTAAAAATTCCCCAAAATAGGGACTGGGGAGATGGCTCAGTTGTTAGGATCACTAACTGCTGGGCCAGAAGTCAGAGTATTCCCAGTACCACGTAACGGCTCACAACCATCTGCCATTCTAGTCCCAGGGCCTCCAATCCTCTGCTGTCACCTCAGGTACTGGGCATACACTTAGTGCACATACACACACACAGGCCAAACATACAATAAAAATTCACTTCCATAAAATAAAAACTCAAATACAACCAAAAGAATACACAGCAAACATGAGATTATCAAACGAAAAGGATGAAGACTAAATCCAGTACAACTATGAGAAGGGGGAAGGAAAGCAGAATTGATTGAAGGAAGGAAGGAAGCAGATGAAAGGAAAGAAACCCGTGAATGTGTCTAGGGCACTGGCTCCCAGCTTCCCCAACTCTGGCTGTGACCCTTTAATACAGTTCATGTTGTGGCGACCCCAGCCATAAAATTACTTTTATTGCTACTTCATAACTGTAATTTTGATGTTGTTATGAATTGTAATATGAATATCTGATACGGAAGATATCTGATATGTTACGCTCAAGGGGCATGAGTCACAACCCACAGGTTGAGAACCACCGATCTAGCTAGAGTAAGAGCTTTGAGAACGTAAGGAAGGTGTGTCCCCATCATGTGTCATGGCAGCTTCCCACGCCTGACACAGCAAGACATCAGCACCTTCGAGGAGGAAGGCATGAGCTGCAGGCCTCAAGTGCAGCAACCTGACTCCCAGGAGGACAGGTACAGTCATAGTGTTATCGGTACTCAAGAGCTCTGGGAGAATTATTTCCATGAGTCCACTCAAAGGGATCTAATTATAAATTGGAGGACACTCACATAAAAAAAAAAAAAAAAAAAAAAAAACAGACCCGGGGGGATATTACTTGCAAATGCTTAAGTGACTTAAAGAGAAAGCATTTGAAGAATTTCCCACTATGTTAGCTACAGTTCCGAGACTGTATATAATGGGGAATAAAGCAAAGGAATGGTTAGGAACATTTGAATTCTAATATCCCTATAGATGAAACAAGTGGGATTTTAAAACTGGACTTAAGCAAGCACATGGCACAGTCTGAATTTGCAATGGAGGGACAAACTTGAGCTCCCGAGACATTTCATCTTCAACTTTACACATAATAAAGTACATACATATGCACACTGGTTAATAAAAATAGCTTTCTGACTCTGTCCACAAAAGAGGGCCAATACAATGAGCAACCGAGAAGCAACAGGCGTCCTGGATGCAATGGCCTGGAAATACTGCCTGCTGGGGAAAACCGGCTGCTTTGAGAACAGCCGCTTCTAGTTTGGGGGGCATGAAAATGTACTCTGGGTGTCTGCAGTGGCTTTTCAGTACATGCACAAGACTCATAAGCAAGCTGAGGCCCTGCCTGGCTAAAAATAGCACCGCTGCAGCTTTTATAAGGAAAATAATTAAAATTCAAATTCAAGATTGAAATTCAAATATATTTAAATGCGCAAGTTCGTAATGGTATTAACAAACAAGAGAGCACTTTCAGAGAATCGCGGCGAGTCAGCAGGCCCTCCTGACAAAGGTTAAATAAATGGCAGGGTTCAGGTGCTTGCTTTATGCTTCCCCCTTGAGGTACATAGCGTTTGAACAAACAGCAGGTGGGAAACTTCCCAGTAAAAGCATCTGCAGCCGCAACCTTGGGATAATTCAACTAAAATGTCATGTGTTTCAAGTCCTAATGAAGTAATGCACCCAGACCAGTAGTTCTCCACCTGGGGGTCATGACCCCTTTGCGGGATCAAAGAACGCTTTCACAGGGGTAGCACGTCAGGGATCCATTATGACAGATATTTACATGGCCATTCATAAAAGTAGCAAAATTACAGTTATGAAATAGCAGCAAAATAATGTTATGGTTTGGGGGGGTCACCGCAGCATTGGGAAGACTGAGGACCATTGGCCTAGACATTCCATTGTCAACAGCTGCTAACATCCAAGAAAGATCAGCAACAGGGTAGGAGATGACGGCTTTGCTGGTGAAAGGACACGTCTTACAGTTTTATCAAGGGGAGGGGCTGTGAATCTGAGCTCACATCTGGACGGCAGGAGAGGCAGGATTGGTTGAACTGCACCATGAGTGTGCAGTCACCGACATACAGCTGTGGTTAACCAGGTGCCACGGCCAAGCTAAAAAAATCACTATTAAAAAGCAAACAAGGCGTGGAGAACCCGTCTTTATATTCTAAGTACTTAAAGGAAGCACCCACTTTTTAAGTGAGTGAGATTAGATCTTAATAGCATTCAGCTGTAAGGAAAAAAATGAAATTTGCAGGAAAATGGATGAACTTGAAAATTAATCAAGGTCACCCAAATATAGAAAGACAAAAAAGCCTCCATATGTTCTCCCTCAAATGCAGAACCTAGGTGATAATACATGAATATAGGTAAGCAGGTGTGTGTGTGTGTGTGTGGTAGAGAGAGGGGGAGGAGAGGAGAGAGAGAGAGAGAGAGAGAGAGAGAGAGAGAGAGAGAGAGAGAGAGAGAGAGAGAGAGAGAGAGAGCATTTAGAAAGGACACAGAACAGAGGCTACTATGATGGGGCAAGGAAGTACAAAATGCAGACAAAGGGTGCACAAATCATGAATGAGTATATAAAGGGATTTCTTTCTAGTTGAAGTTCCATCATAGATTTCTCATGTGGTGATAAGTGAATAGAAACATAGTTACTATTGGAAGGGTAAAACCAAGGTTTTGTTTTTGTTTTTGTTTTTGTTTTTTAACGAGACAGGGTTTCTCTGTATTGTTTCGGAGGCTATCGGTCCAGCCCGGCCTCGAACTCACAGAGATCTGCCTGCCTCTGCCTCCCGAGTGCTGGGATTAAAGGTGTGCGCCACCACCGCCCGGCTAAAACCAAGGTTTTAATATGACCATTCTAGCTACCTAGAAGTTCGCTGAGTACTGGAGTCTGGGAATGGGAAAGTGTTTGAGTGAGTTCCCTAAACTGACTATATCTTCATTTCATGTGGATTCATTAGAATAAAGTGATTTTTTATTAAAAAATTAAACCCTTCCATCTTGAGTGATAAACTGTAAAGAATCAAGACGTATCAGTACAAAAGTCATCACAGAAGTTAACTTCAGGAAGGGAAGTGTAGCGATTAAACGGGGACAGAGGGAGGTGTTGAGTGGCAGGTGATTCTGTTTCCTGACCATGTGCTGACTACCGCTACATTTCCAATGTGACAGCAGTAGGAGGCGGGCCTTAGGGGAAATGATAAAAGAGGGTGGAGCTCTCAAGAATAGGATTAGTGCCCTGATACAGAGAGAGACGGGAGATAGCTTTATTCTCTCCAGCATCTGGGTACCCAGTGGGGGAGCTAGCCTCACCACAGACCGAACTGCCAGGTGCCATGATGTTCAGCATCCATAACACAGAAAGATGTCAGCTGTTTAAGCCATCGAGTCTACACTGGGGTTTGCTTTGCTTTGTTTCTAGCAGCCCACCTAGAACCTTTGTTCATTAAATTGACATTTTTTTGTTGAAATTCACACACACACACACACACACACACACACACTGATTTACTGTTAAACAAAGAAGTTAGACAAACAAACACCCATCCAGGTCCCTTACCTGTGCCTTGGCCAACTTCTTTTCCAGAAGGTCCCGTTCCCGCTCTGTTTGCTGCAGGCGCTTGTTGAGCTCTACTATGTCTCCCTTGAGTGATGCCAGGGCTGCCAAGTGGAGCTGTGGAGGCAGAAGGAAAGGGACCCACAGTTAGGCAAGCTCATTTCCTTCCCTCCCTCCTTTGATGAGCACAGCCATGTAGGAAAAAAAAAAATCTATCACCCCAAAGGGGACACTTCCGAGAATGGAAGTGCTGTAATCTCAGGAACAACACATGTGAGTCAGGGTCTTCATGAGATGGCTATACAGTCACCCCAGACATAGCGGGGAAAGCCATTCCTGTGTGGGGTAGAATCAGAATTACATGACAAATTCAGGGTAGAGAGCACAGCTCTTTATTTTAAGGGCTTTCCCTGAGGTAAGTGTGAGAGTCACAGCTCGAGCGGGACTGCCTAATTCAACATAGAGCACAAAGACTGCAGTCAGCAGGAGGCTGAGGCAGGAGGATCAGAAGTTCGAAACCAGCCCAGACCACATAAGGAAATCCTGTCTAAAACAAAACAAGTTAAAAAGGAAAGGAAACAAAAGCTTTCGGGGGGGGGGCGACAACTGGGGGTAGGACGTAGCTCAGTCGTGGAGCTCTTGCTTAACTTGTAGGTGGCTTGATGTCCCCATCCCTCAGCACAAAGAAACGGAGAGCTGGTTTTGAGTTGGCTCTTCTTCCAGCTGACCTGCTGAGGTTTTTGCTCCTAACTCCTTCCTCATTGCCACCAAACAGCCTCGACTGATTGGGCAGGTGCTTCTTCTAAGCTAATAGACTCGCTGAGACACACCATCAGAATCCTTAGGTTATGCCGTGCTCCACAGAACACACCTGCATCCCCCCCTGACACTATTCCCCAGCCATCTGGCTCAGGTTCATGGAAGCTGAAAAGGAAGTTCTTTCGGCGGATTTAAAGAGGGGGAGAACTAAGCGTTATGATCAGAATCTGAACAACTTTGCATTCTGAATACAGAATTTGGCTGCATAGGCTCCTGCCCCAGCCCAGCCTTCTGTGGCTCTCCAGGCCAGAGACGGGTGGACTACAAAACACATTCGCCACACCTATCTCTGCACCCACCCCAGGGAGCTTTTGCCTGCCCGGGTACTGCAGATACCTGCTTTCCCCCTCTGCACCCCAGGGAGTCCAGGTGGCTCACCCCTATGCCCCATGGTGCTCTGCACCTAGAAATGGAATTGTAACAGATGCTCCCTCTCAGAGGTGCTCTGCAGCTTCCCCTAGGACTTAATATGAGTTGAGACCAAAACCAGATGTGTTCTTTGAGGAAGGCATGGCATGACAGCACACAGTTCAAAGCTCAAGATCACTGGCATTTTAGCTTTAGAAGACCACCCTCCCTGTACCCTGCTCAGATGTGTCGGAGGTGGCAGTGGCTTCAAAGCACTTGTGTTCCTTCGACTCCAACAGCAGTGTGACTAACTTAATTGCACACAGGCTACAAACCAACAGATCAATCGCTGATTTGAAACCAGGAACGCTTGCAATTTAAAAAGGAAATGCCAAGCAATCTGGTGGTATTTGCGTCTGGTGTAGGGCTAGGGCCCCTCAGAAAAGGTCACTCTGCTTTTCAGTTACAAGGTTTATGTGATGGTTTCTCAGCACAAATACCACTGTGCTCCCACTATACAATCTTCTTGAGATGTGTTTTGTTTAGAGTATGGTGAAGAGAAAGAGTCAGTCCCTTCCATGGCTGGGGCTGTGGCCTTAGTCCTGCAGCATCGGCATTGGTATGCTACCTGATCAGGTGTTCCTGGGAGAATATACACCACCCAATCCTGGTGAGGATCATCAAACACCAGGACCTGACACGTGCTTTAAGAGACATGTAGTTGGTTGTTGGTTTTTTACTCCTCCTTACTCTGGCTTTTTTGGGGGACCTGACATTCAGCTTCCAAATAAACCACCACAGTCTTATTCTTTGTTACAATCGCCCAGCCTTAGCTTGCTTCTAGCCAGCGTTTTTTTTTTTCTTATATTATCCCATCTATCCTTTGCCGCTGGGCTTTTATCATTCTCTATTTCTGTATACTTTACTTCTTTCTCCATAGTTTGTTGTGTAGTGGGGCAGCTGACCCCCAATGTCCTCCTCTCCTTATTCTATCTTATTCCTTCTCTCCCCCCAGATTTCTCCATTTATTCTCCCTGCCTGCCTGCCTTCCTGCCCCGCCAATCTTTCCTCATGCCTCGCTGTTGGCAGTTCAGCTCTTTATTAGACCATTCAGGTGTTTCCGACAGGCAAAGTAGCATAAAAGAATGAAACACATCTTTGCATCATTAAACAAAATGTTCCATAGCATAAACAAATGTAACACGTCTTAAAATAACATTCTGCAACGCACACAGGCATAGACATGAAGATCTCAACTGAGAGCCTGGTTAGCTTCTCCCTATTTCACTCTCTCACATCTGGGGTTGTCTGCAAGGCTTGGGAGGATGAAAAGGCAAAGCTGGCACAGAATATTGCAGACCCTCTCCTCAACATCTCAAACTATGTCACATAGGCAGACACACAGAGTAGCTACTTCCACCATAGCCACACCAGAAGGGTCCAAAATAGGATCATACTGTTGATGGGACTGCCGGGATGGGTACCAAAACAGTCTTTGGCCCTTGGCTCTCTGGACCACAGCATGTGCACAGGGCACTTCTGTGCTCCTCCAATGGAAGATAGCTCTCAATGAAGGGCACAGACAGGTCACAAAGAGTCTCCGGACTCTGATGGTAGCCTCTACAGACAAAAAAAGGAAGGTACATAAATGTTTTCTACACACTGAGATCTATCTGTCTGTCTATCTACCTATCTACCTTACATGCTTCAAAATTAACATTTGTGATAACTACTAACTCTGCGAGCCATACTTCACACTTGTGTGCCGTGAGCACAAGATGGCTGAGAGCAAGGGCAGGACCCATAGTGCTCAGCTGGGGCAACTGTAAGACTGAGTCACTTTCTTAAGGCTCCAGAGGGTGCCTGGCACCCCAAAACACAGCTCAGCGTCCTGCTATATACAAGACTGCACATGTCAGTAATCTGAGTTTTTCATGGATAAAAATTGTATTTAAAATAACTATACAAGCATGATGATTACAGAAATGAGATTCAATTAAAAGAATAAAGTGGAAAGGACATTCTAAAGGACATCCAGTAGGCTCTAAATTGTTTTCAATACTTTTAATTCAATGAATATTTTTAAAGGGAGTTATTTATATATTAAGGAAACAATAAAAAGACCAGCAAGAGCATAGTAACTGAAACAGGTTGTTTTCTTTCCTACCTGGCCCTTTCAATGGAAAGACAGAATAAAACATGTTTATTGTTGACCATTTCTCAGTGGAGGCACAGAAGGCAAGGCTGCCAACAGAGGGCGCCCTCCTTACCCCCCACATCCCTAAGGAGCTCTCAACACAAGTGCATGCCTCTTTGCTGGTCAAGTTTAAAGTTACCAGGGACAGAGGGGCTTCTCGGATTGAGTCATTTGTAGGCCACAGAGAAGCTTCAACACGGTAGGTGCTGGCACAGTCAAAGTAATGTAGGATTCTGCCAAGTCCCAAGGCTTTGAATGTTAAGCCTCTTATCTCTCTCTTCAATCATTTTTAACCATTTTATTTATTTACTTATTATTATCTTATCATCATCATCAAAGGTCAGAGGAAAACGTTGAGGATTTAGTCTTCTCTTTCCACTGTGGGTTCTGGAGACAGAACTTGAGGTTTCAGGTTTGTGTGGCAGGTGCTTTATTTACCTGCTGGGCCATCTCAATAGTCCTATCCGTGAAACTGTCACAGAGAGCTTATACAAAGTTTATGTGGAACCTTGTCACTGTCTATAAACATTCAGATTTAGGTATACAGGTGACAGATGCATACCATGTTTCTAGGGATAAAGGTCCCCAGTTCCCTGGGTTGTTCATAAGCTAGCTTCACTCCGTGCTGTGTGCTTCCAAATGCAACTATACCACCTGGACATTTGGCAACAGACAAGGTAATTGTCAAGCTGGGCAGTTGTTATTTTTGGATGGTCTGTTCCTCGAGTGAAACTGCACTATGGAACTAGTCTTAAGGACGAGCCACCTTCGCCCCTGACAGCTAAGGTGTTCGGCTCCACGGCCCAAGTGAGGACCAGACAGACTCTCCTGGAGGTTTTCCCATGCTGAGCAGATATTCAGCCCCTCACATTATCAGGAGACAGAGGGCTCCATAGTCTGTCACACGCCCTTGGGATCCAGCAGCCCTACCTGTGAGAGTGGCCTCTGGCAGCACTTACCACCCTTCCGCTATTACTAACAACAAAGTGGCAAACACGGTCTGCTCTGCTGCACTAAGCTCCCATTCTCTGATACGCCACATTGTGATTGCCACCACCATCCAGGGCTTGTGTCTAGGCTGTTAAAGTCTACCTCCGTCACTTGGCTCATCCTTCTGAGACTGGGACCTTTCAACAGTCCAGTCATCAAAGGGCCAAGGGCTCCAGCAACTTGGCAGAGATGGAGGACTGTATCACGTGAAGCGTTTCTTTTCAGTATGGGTACCGCTAGGCGCCTCCTACCGCAGTGCTGGTCATCCTGCAAGTTGGGTGAGCTTATCCATGGTGTGCTTTGAGGGTAGTGTCCTTCCTCCTGGCCTTGCTTGGGTCAGGAGATGCTTGTGTGAGCCATGTCATGCACTGCCAGGGTGCCCCTGCTTCTGTCTCACTGATGGATAAGGGAATATATGTCACTGTGGTTGGTTTAATAAAGAAGCTGACTGGCCAATAGCTGAACAGTTAGGCAGGAGAAGCCAGACTAGGAGAATGCTGGGAGGAAGAAGGATGGAGTCTGGAGTCGCCCTCAGATGCAGAGGGAACAGGAGATGAACGTACCAGGCTAATGAAGGTACCACTACATAAGTGATATGGGTTAACTTAAAATGTAAGAGCAAGTTAGTAATAAGCCTGCGCTATTGGCTGAGCATTTATAATTAATATATAAGTCTCTGTTATCAGTTATTTGGGAGCAGGTGGTCAGGAAAGGGAAACTTCCACATACAAATTTCTATTCTGTCCTCATTCTGACCCTAGTC